ACAGATTTTGAGAACGTCGCTTTTGTGAAACAAGCGCAAAAACTTTCTCGATAAAAGTTACATGATTGAAGACACACGGGACGTACAGAGACGATGAGCAACTTTTGCGCGCCTTTCTTTGAATATTTAAAGGGGATTATGTATGAATACCTCGCTTTGAGAGAGGAGAAGACCCTTCCTGTCTTCCAATAAGGTAAAAATAGTCGATAGGCATTGACCCACAGAGAAGAGAGCCGTCGATGTCTACCTGGCACGATGTGAAGCGTCGGCAGAATCATTTAGAACCACGCGGACCGTTCGCTCACTCCCCTCACCCCTCCCTGTCACATGAATTTACCAAAAAGCACATAAAAGAGACCCACGCAATTCCACCTTATAAAGTAAGTATCCTAAAGCGCGTATATCTTTTCAGATAAAACGACACTCTTTTGAGTGTCTGACAGTTAAAAATTAAAACTTGCTCCTAATCTTTAACGAATGTGTGTATACTTATATCGCATAATAATTCCATTAAATTAAAAATTTTCGAACCGCCATGAAACATCGGAACTGTGTGCCTCGGTAGAATATTTCTTTCATGAATAAATTAAAACTTTGATTTCGTAAGCGCGTCTCGTGCCGAGACGTAATCTAGCTAATTTTTTCCATCAATTCCCGCTACTCTTTTTTTTTCTTTACGAAAATTCGATGGTGTCCCACTTTCCTTGTAGTAGCTCCTTCATATCGGAAACTGTCTAGTCTCTGCCTCTCTTTGACATTATCATTAATGAAAAATCGATACCAAATTAGTCAAAGAATTCATAGGTGAAAGACGATGGCGATGGAGGTCGCGCGCTATGAGGTAGCGCCGGTAATCTCGTTAAGACCGTCACATGCTAAGACGTGTCATGAATTTGAAAAAAAACACACACATACACACACACACACACACATGGAGTTGTCGCAGTCGGACACGCCATTAACCCCCAAGGCTTTGTAGCGGATGATTAGTTTTTCCATTGGCCGTCGTAGTCGACGACGACGGCGACTAACGAGATTGTCTCCGGAGTGCAGCGCATGAAGACCCGGTCAAAAGCGAAGTCGTTATACCCGGTTTCGGAGGGAGGAAGAGGAAATTGGGTCGGTCCCTCCCCCC